TGTGCAATAGAGTTTTTCAGTCCAGTAGAAACAGAGGAGGTGGGACAGACTAAAAAGCTTAGTGGAATTCGGCAGGTCTGGCTTTTGAAGTTAACACTGGTTCATTTCTTGAGTTTCAACAGATTATATTAGGGCAGTGTCTAGCTGACTCATGACAGAGAATTTTTTTGTGCTTGCAGTCTGGGAAATGCAGCTACCTAACTATAATAATTTGTATAATGCAGCAGCATTGCCAATAATTAATTTTATTAGAAATTTGAAGTTACTAATAGCATAATAAGAACATGAGAAAAAAGGGAAAAAAGAGAGAAAAATATTCTGGGGGAAAAATCTTGCCAAAATCTCTCCTAGAACCTCAGTAATTAAATTAGTTGTTTATTATGTGTCATTTAATTTCTCAGTGGTCATGAAAATACCCACATTACATTTCCAAAAGAACATTCCCCTCCTTTTCTAAGTTGCTTTGAATTGCTCTTGGCAAATATAAGAACTTTACAAAATCACTTTTGCAAAATCTGTTTTGCAGATGTGGAATCCATCATTTAAGAAGTTGAATTTAAACATGTGCATGTGGAGCCTTCTTCATGGATATTTTAATTGAAATGGAATTTATGGAAGAGAAACCATAAATGTTGATGGGATGAATGTATTAAAACTTGATGTAATGAGTAAACAACAGTATATGTTAGAAGTACAGTTTAAAAAAAATCCCTCTGTTCTTTTTACTAAAGAAAAAACTTTGATTAAACAGTTTGTTTCAGGTGGAAAAAAAGGCTCATTCAGGAAATGCTTTTCTTTTGTTTTCACTGGAGTCCAAAAATACCTTGGTTCTGCCTGTCAACAGATAATATTATACTTCTGCTAAGTGGTGCAACATAGAGCATTAAACAGTGTTATTTTTTCATCTCCCACTTTTTTACTTCTGAGGAGATAATCTTAAGAAGGTTTTTTTTAACAAAATGAGTGCCCTGGAAATTATCTGATTAATGCAGGGGTAAATTTTTTTTATTCATTTCAACACAAACAACAGACTGAGCTCAGAGAAGTGAAGCTTCTGAGCTTAGAAAGTGAAAATAGAACTTTTGTCATGCAATCTCATTTATTTATTTTTTCATTATGTCTGAGGAAGAGGAAATACGTAAATGGTACAAAATATTCCAGAAGAAAACCCCAGAGTCATAATTACATAATGTACCCCGAGTTGACTGTTATGTGGTATGCTGATTGAGGGTTAGAAACAGAGATAATATATGGGAGCAGTCCATATATTTTTTTGCCATATTTGCCAATTTAAAGACAATATTACCTGAAGGTAAATTAATCGAGTTTCTATGCTTCTTTTCCTTTTTAACTTCTTTCCTTCTGACTAGAATGGGAGGAATTAGATGTTAGTCACAATACTACAGAACGGGCTGGGTTGGAAGAAACTTCAGAGGTCATCTAATTTCAAAGTCCCCCCTCTCCAGCCAATGTCAGGGATGCCACCCACTAGACCACATTGCTCAGATCCTTGTCCAACCAGATCTTGAACATTTCTAGGGATGTGACATCCACAACTTCTCTAAGCAACCTGTGCCAGAGCCTCACATGGTCACAGTAAAGGATTCGTTCCTAATATTGATTCTGAGTCTCTTCTGCTTTAGTTTAAACAGTTCCCACTTGTGCTATCACTGTATACTCTGCAAAAATCACTTTCCATCTTTTTTACAACCATCTTTTTAGTACTTACAGTTGCTTTTGGTCTCCCCAGAGCTGTCTCTTTTCCTGTCTGAGCAAACCCAATTCTCATCCTGTCCTCACAGGAGTTGTGCTGCAGCCCCCTGATCCTCTGTTGTGTCTGGACTTGCTTCAACAGGTCCTTGTCCTTTTTATGCTGCATGCAGCTCCAGGTGGGTCTCAGCAGAGCAGAGCAGAGCAGAGGGGCAGAATCCCCTGCCTCCCCTGCTGCCCACAGGGCTCTGGATGCAGTCCAGGACATGTTTGGCTCTGTGGGTTATGAGTGCTCACAGCTGGGCATATACAACCAAAGAATCAATTAGGTTGGAAAAGGCCTCTGGGATTCATTCCAGCCTGTGACCCACCATGGTCAACCAGACCATGGCATTCAGTGCCATGTGCAGTCTTTCCTTAAACACTTCCAAAGATGTGACTTTACTACTTCCCTCAGCAGCCCATTCCTGTATAATCACCCTTCCTGTGAAGAAATTCTTCCCAATGTCCAGCCTAAGTCTTCTTTCATTCCAGTGAAGGTCTGTCCCCAAGGTCCTTCAGTGATCACTGCTTCTAGTCTCTCATTGGTCTGAAGGAAACACATACATAATTTACAGATGACTCCTGGTGTTTTAGTTGGTGGTGATTTAGTCAAAAACCATGCTAAGCTGAAATTTTGCAGATAATATTATGAGATGTATTTGCAATATGATGTCCATTTAAAAATAGGAAATATTTCCATAAAGAATAAAAATACTTAAAAGATCTTATGTGAAAGAAGACATTAATGAGCTCAGTCTTAGCTCATGAATTACGGCTTTCTGGGAGTGACTGACAAATTTGTAACTAATATATAGGCCATTTCTTTCAAGATACTTACTTTAGTATAATTTTTTCTTTCATTAGATCCAGTAGCAGCAAGGCAACAGCAAACACATGCTCAGTGTGGGGACATTAAGAAAACATTGAGGGAATATCAAATATATACTGTAGGCTATGTGGGCATTTTTGACAGGGCATGTAATTCATATATGTGGGAATATGGCCAACTGTTTGCAGTGGAAGCAGCAGTTCAGAGAACTTGGATTTTTCAGCTGACCTGCTGACATTACAGCTGATTGAATGCTCATACTTATTTTAATGTGTTTTATAAGGAATAGGAGTATACAAGTGCTTCTTCTTCCTTTACAGTGGAAAGGTAAAATGATAAAAAGGTTTGAATATGCTCTTCGTGTAGCCAGTTTCTGAGGTTTTGTCAGGACACTTGAGCCCCAAAAAGAGGAAACTGCAGGGTTTAAAAAAGTCATTCCATGCCAGCAGAAGTAAAGAATTGGGAGGATAAAGGATTCTGAGGAGATTTTTCTGCAATTACATCTGAGATGCTGTGAGGCATCTGGAATGAAAGGGCTCTGAAGTTCCCTGCACATAACTGTATTACCTGGTGCACCACTTGAGAAGGGGTGTGCCAAGGCAGTCCTTGGGAACTTGCACTGTAAGAGGGGACAGAGCTGTTCTGTCGGACATGGTCGTCACTCAATTTAAGAAGAGAAGCTGAAGATGCAGGACATTCAAATGAAATTTTGGAGAGATTGAGTATTGTGGAGGAAGAGGAATGGAAAAAGACTCAAGTTTTAAGCAAATATCACAGTGGGAGAAAGTGTGAATGAAAGGCAGGAGCCTGAGATGGGTATTGACCACACAAGGACATTAAAAAGGGAAGGTCAGAATCATTGAATGTTTGAGCATGAAAGCAACTTCTGAAAATCTTCTAGTAAGCCTAATCATAATTGCAATATAGTGCATTATTTAAAATAAAAGTAATAGTTAAAACCATCAAATAAAAAGCTTGCCAAAATCTCAAACCCAAACTAAGTATCAGAACACTTGAATGTCTTGTGCTAGAGCTCCAAATACAGCAATGAAGTGATGCCTTACGCATAGGAGATTTGAAGACTTTTAAAAATGAAACTAACCTTGACTTTATTATGGAAAACTGAAGGTTAATTCTACTTATTCATTCTAACTTACGGTTACTGATTTCTGATTACTGTCATTAAATGTGCAGTTGATTGTAACCTCTCTGAGGTATTTCCAGCTCATTTTCTTGTCTATTTTATTCTAGAATTATTTATATGTCAGCTCTATGGCGTGTCTGGTCCTGTAGCTCTGATGGAAGGAAGTTCCTAATACTGTGCTGTGGTATCTTGTCTCCTTCTGGAGAAATGGCAGCCTCTGTTAAAGTTGTATTTGTTTTGCTAGAGACCAGTGAATTATGTGCTGTTGGATCATAGGCAATGTTTGTATAGTCTAAACAAATGGGGTTGTCTTGAGAACCTTGAGACTTTTTCTTTCTAAATGAATGATCTTCCTTCCTTTGCCAAATTCTGAAACTCTTCTCTGCATTAGATGCCAGAAGAGTTTTGAATTTTTATATGGAAAGACCTCAGCATATTAAATGGACAGAAAACATTTGTATCTAAGACAGTTTAAAGGGTCCACCTGTATCTAGTGTTTTAGTTCTCTCTCATTTGGATGTTTTTCTGTATCTAAGGAACAGAGAAGATCCAGGCAGATACTCTTTTTCCATTAAAAAGAGAAAAGATGTATTTGTTTTGCTAATGTGGGAAAAACTCAACCTGAAAAAACAATAATACATAAATTAGTCTTTCTGAAATATTTGAAGAACACTTTTATAACAGAACTCTAACATCTTCAGGGTTAGTGGAAGAGAACTACAGTAATATTAAAATTAATATTTTAAATGCCTTTTAAAAGTAAAGTGTGAGGAATAGCCAGCCAGTTAAAAGCAGAATATTCAGTTGTTGTTACACCCAAATAGTTAAGAAATCTGTTTTTGTTATGAATTTGTATAAGCATTCATGCCTATTTCCTGAAGTATTAAGTCTTAGTAGAGGACTAAATACTTTCCTCTTCCTGACTTCCATTGGCAGTGGAGATTATGTAGTACCTGTGCATTAACTTTTTGTTATCTTCCAAATTCTAAATTATTTATGTATTTACATGAGAGTTTTGGGGAAAAGTGTTTTGGTTTGGGTTTTTTTGTTTGTATTAATTATTTTTTAACTTTAGATGCATTTTAGTGAACATGATGTTTCTTACTTGAAAAGTTGTCCTCATAGCTTAAAATGCTGTTTTGCCATTACAGCTTAATTTGAGCAATATTATATGCCATTTGTGCTGGAAAAGGTATTTGGTTTTATCACAAGAAGAATTATTTTATATATAATAACATTATCTAAAACAACTGTTTATTTAAACTATTTTTTCAGAACTGTGAGGACTTGGGACGTTAACAATGAAAAAAAGCACAAAAGCGTATTTAAGCCACGATCAGTTCAAGGTAAACGAGTGATTCCTACAACCTGCACATACAGCAGAGATGGGAAACTTATTGCAGCTGGCTGTCATGATGGCTCTATCCAGATCTGGGATAGGAATATGAGCGTAAGTCCAGTATTTGATAACAATATATGCTTCTATTATTTTGAGTGTGAAAGCTGAAGCAGATAAAAACAATTTTGGTACTTGTATATTTTTATATCCTCTCCTCTCCTCTCCTCTCCTCTCCTCTCCTCTCCTCTCCTCTCCTCTCCTCTCCTCTCCTCTCCTC